GGCGAGTACTCGAAAGCACTTTCATCGTACGAAAGATCACTTGAAATCCTCAAAATAGCTCTCCCTCCGAATCATCCTCACTTTAGTGCTTTCTACAACAACGTCGGTAGTGTGTATTATAACATGGGCGAGTACTCGAAAGCACTTTCATCGTACGAAAGATCACTTGAAATCCAAAAAATAGCTCTCCCTCCAAATCATCCTGACTTGGCTACTTCCTACAACAACATTGGTAGTGTGTATATTAACATGGGCGAGTACTCGAAAGCACTTTCATCGTACGAAAGATCACTTGAAATCCGAAAAATAGCTCTCCCTCCAAATCATCCTGGCTTGGCTGCTTCCTACAACAACATCGCTATGGCGTATTATGACATGGGCGAGTACTCCAAAGCACTTTCATCGTACGAAAGATCACTTGAAATCCGAAAAATAGCTCTGCCTCCAAATCATCCTGACTTGGCTGCTTCCTACAACAACATCGCTGTGGTGTATTATAACAGGGGCGAGTACTCGAAAGCACTTTCATCGTACGAAAGATCACTTGAAATCCGAAAAATAGCTCTCCCTCCGAATCATCCTAGCTTGGCTGCTTCCTACAACAACATTGGTAGTGTGTATATTAACATGGGCGAGTACTCGAAAGCACTTTCATCGTACGAAAGATCACTTGGAATCCAAAAAATAGCTCTCCCTTCAAATCATCCTGACTTGGCTGCTTCCTACAACAACATTGGTATTGTGTATATTAACATGGGCGAGTACTCGAAAGCACTTTCATCGTACGAAAGATCACTTGAAATCCGAAAAACAGGTCTCCCTCCGAATCATCCTAACTTGGCTGCTTCCTACAACAACATCGGTTTGGTGTATTATAACAAGGGCGAGTACTCGAAAGCACTTTCATTGTACGAAAGATCACTTGAAATCCGAAAAATAGCTCTCCCTCCAAATCATCCCGATTTAGCTGCTTCCTACAATAACATCGGAGAAGTGTATAGAGACATGGGCGAGTACTCGAAAGCACTTTCATCGTACGAAAGATAACTTGAAATCCGAAAAACAGGTCTCCCTTCAAATCATCCTGACTTGGCTGCTTCCTACAACAACATCGGTAGTGTGTATATTAACATGGGCGAGTACTCGAAAGCACTTTCAGCGCTAGAAAGATCACTTGAAATCCAAAAAATATCTCTCCCTTCAAATCATCCTGACTTGGCTGCTTCCTACAACAACATTGGTAATATGTATATTAATATGGGCGAGTACTCGAAAGCACTTTCATCGTACGAAAGATCACTTGAAATCCGAAAAATAGCTCT